CTACACCTTGTTATCTCAGTTGTTTTTAGCAGTTGTCCATCACCTGGAATGCAAAAGTTGCAATGTAATTTCTGTGTAAATGCTTTGATTTATGGACCATTTGTTTGTATTGTTGGTCAGGAAACCTTCTTATGACAAAACCTTCATTACCAAATGATGATTTTTTAAAAATCCTACAATAAAGATCCCACCAGTAATTGATTGTACTGACTAAAACATTATACAGATTTATTCCCAAAGACTTGGCTGTCTTGAATACATTTTAACTTCAACTGATTTGACATTTACAATGGGATAGTGAAAAATAAATGGATGTTATTTCCAGTACAAACTGTATCTTTGCTGCATGTGCAGTTGATTTTTTTTTTAATTTTTGATGTTTGTCAATGACATTTTTAATGAAGGAGGATAATTTAAAGAATAAACTAATTTGTTTCTACATTAGTGTGCAGTAATTGGTCTGTTTTGTTGAAATTTTAATCGATTGACACTTAACAATTGTAATTTACCTTTTGTACAAATTCCAACAAAATACTAGATTCCTTTTAAAATGGTTTAATCAGAATCATCTTTATGCCATTTAAATTTCGGTAATGTGCAGTTCAGTGTGGATTCTACAACATAGTTGGTTAAAGAGACTTCATGTACACCACAGATGCCCTAAGCCACATATTAAATTAGACACTAGGTTTGATCAATTCTGTCTTCCATGGGCAACTTTCAGTGAGGTGAATGGCAACTGTTCCTCTACTGCTGACCACACGATTCATGCTTGTCTATAAACCAAATGACCTCCTCCCCTCTCACCAGAGTTAACTTTTTTGTTTTTGACACTGTAGTTGCAGTAACATGGACTGGATTTTCAGTTGTCTGCGAGGATGGGTGAGCTTTGAAAATTTCATCCCTGATGGGATGGACTGGCAGCCCCCTACTCGAGCATGATGCAAATTTCTAAGTGGGGAGAGGAATTCTGAAGCTTCCATTCTAACAGTTAACTGCTAGAGCTCAATAAGAGGAGTAAGTCTTAAATTTTCAATTGATAAGCACAGGAAACATGCAGGGTTGGAGTGCAGTAGGCATGAACACTGCGATGAGCCATCATGGGTTGTGGAGCCACTGTTCAACTCATTTGATAGGGAGATTAACACAACTATACAACAGATAGGACAGAGTTGCCACCACGGTAGCTGAAAGGCGTGTATTTGTCAACAGCAGTAGGAGTCTTGAGCGGCAACAGGCTGCTGACATCATTTGGGGAGCAGAGGCTGGCAGAAGAAATTCTGGTGAACAAACCAGCAGGAGCTGAAGGGGAGGAAAGTGCTGCTAAAAACATCAGATGTATCAGCTCTGGCAAATGACAGTGACGTAGGAGGTTGCATCTATTTAGTAAATTGGTCTTCAGCATTTGTGCTCTGGTCCACAATGCCTTGAGGCCCCTCAGAGCCTACAGGAGTCTCCTTGCCATCTAGATCACTGCTGCCCTGAATTTCTATTGTGTCATTTTCCAGAATCTCAGCTATAGACTTGTGTTGCATGTCTCAATTGGCAGCTAATCACAATAGGTATTTAAAACTTACCTGCTCCTTAATTTGGGGTCTGCATCTGTTTCAAGAATCAGGACTCCACCACAGCCATTGGTTATGTTTCAGCAGGGGACTGAAGTTTATGATTCACTTGAATACTATAAATATACAGACTGAAATTGTGCTTGTTGTTAGGAGTTGTGTTTTTGTAATGTATCTTTCTAAATATATACTTGACAAAATAAATGCAAACATATGTAAAAAATGAGTGCCACACTGTCCTTCACCTATTGACTTATAGAATTTAAAATAATAGAGGATGGTTTTCTAAAGGTGAGGGTTAGAAGTTAAGGAAAATAAATTGAAATATAAAACTACAATTACAGTAGCCATTTACGCTTTAAAGGTGTCGCAGTGGAAGTCTGGTACAAGGTGAATCAGCATACAGCAAATTTACTTACAGCACAGGGGTCTTATTCCCAACCAGCTAATTATGCTCATGCAAAAACTCAAAGTAACCTTACCTCAAACATGGTAAATAAATAGCTCCCATTAGATTAAAGAAGTGATGGGGTACTAAGGCTTACACTATTTCTACCTGCACAAGTTATCACTTGCTGCAGCTATGGCAATACAATTGGGAATTTGTTCCACCTGCTTGGAGGAAATGCTGTTCTTTTTAAAATTCTGTTTCAATCCTACATCGTTACTTCATTTTACAAAGCACACACTGAATAAATGTGCAGATGGTGACAGTAGGGATGGTATCAGTACTAACTTCTGCTGAAGGGAAATACACTACTAATCATCTAGCTACGTTGTGATTCAGCTACAACGCAGCCTCATTCCTTGGACTCCCCATATTATATCAGTCATCCACTTATTTCCATGGTTATAGAAACATTTTATACAACGTTTTTCAACAACAAAGTTTAGTCTTTCTGCAATGATTCTTCGTAACGACAAAGGTGGTTATATCCAAAACTGGGGATAGGGACTGTATCTGAGGCATCAATAAAGTTTCTGATTGATAGGGGAATCTACCAGTGATGAGTTCAGAGATATGATAAAATGGACATCATGGCAGTGAAGACTGCAGCTGCAAAACTTCTCGGCAATGGGCACGGAAAGGATTAAAAAGGTGCCTGATGAAATGCTGCATAAAGCATTGGCTAAGCAACTACAAGTTGAGCATTGCTGAGTTGGTGGTTCGTGAACTCCAACCAGTGGAATGCTTTATATTATAAACCCAATAAAGTCCTTAATTCAAATGTGGACAAAAGCCCAAAATTCCAAAAGTAAGATGAGAAATGTTCCTTAACATCAAGGCTGCATTCAACCGAGTGTAGCATCAGGACCCCTAGTAAAACTGGAATCACAGGAATCGGGGAGAACTCTCCACTGGCTAGAGTCATACCTGGCACAAAGGAAGATAGTCGTGGTTTCTAGCAGTCAGTGATCTCAACTCCGGGACATCTCTGCAGGAGTTCCTCTGCATAGTGTCCTAGGCTCAACCATCTTCAGCTGCTTCATCAAATGACCCTCCCCTCATCATAAGGTCAGAGTAGGGATGATCACTGATGATTAGACAATGTTGAGCACCATTCACAACTCCTCAAATACTGAAGTAGTCCATGCTCAATGCAACAAGACCCAAACAATATCCAAATTTGAGCTAGTGCGTGGCAATTATCATTTGTACCACAAAGGTGCCAGGCAATGACCGTCTCCAACAGAAGTGAATATATCCATCGTGCTTCTCAATTAATAGCATCACCATAATTGAATCCCACATTATCAATATCCTGGGGGTTACCGTTGACCAGAAATTGAATTGGATTAGTCATATAAATACAGTTACTACAAGAGAATGTCAGAGTCTAGGAATCTTGCACTGACTAACTCACCTCACTACCCAAAACTTTTCCACCCCCTGCAAGGGACAAGTCAGGGGTGAGATGGAATGCTCCCCACTTGCCTGAAAGATTGCAGCTCCAATAACACTCGAAGCTTGACACAGGATATAGCAGAGTGCTTGACTGGCATCATATCCACAAACCTCCATTCCAACAACCAGCGATGCTCATTAGCAGACTTATGAATGCTTGTACTTAACGAATGCAATCCCATTGAGGGGTGTAATTTTAAAGATCCAATATTTGAACGAACATACCAAACATGTTCCCAAATTAAACTTGTCCCACTTACCTGCATTTGGCCCATATCCCTCTAAATCTTGCCTATTTATGTACTTAACCAAAAGTCTTTTAAATGTTGTAACTATACCTTTTATCTACCACTTCCTTTGCAGTTCTTTCTACAAACGAACTCTTGTGTTTTAAAAAAAAATGTCCCTCATGTTCTTTTATAAAACTTTCTCCTCTCACCTTAAAAGTATCCCCGCCTGATTTTGAACTCCCCTGCCCTAGGGAAAAAAAACTCTTGCTTATGTTATTGTTCACCTTATTTATGCCCCTCATGATTTTATAAATCTCTATAATATCACCCCTCAATCTCCTATGCTCCCGTGAAAAAGTTCCTAGCCTCTCCAGTATCTCAAACCCTCCAGTCCCGGCAACATCCTGGTAAATCTTTTCTGAACCCTTTCCAACTTAATAATATTCTTCCTATAGCAGGATAACCAGAATTGCACACTACTCTCGAGGAGGCTTCACCAAAATTCTGTACAAGCTCAACATAATGTCCCAACTCCTATACTCAAAGACAAAACGAAAACAGAAATTGCTGGAAGCATCAATGGAGAGAAACCAGAGTTAATGTTTCAGGTCTAGTGACCCTTCCTTAGAACTAATGGTAGCTGGGGAAAAAGAGTGTTTTTTTATGCAGAAGATGGGGTGGGGGTACGGTTTAAGAAGTAAACGATCGATGGAGATAGAACCCAAAGAGAGAGAAGAACATTTGGACAGAAGAGACGAGTGGATAACGGTCAGCCTAGGAGAATGAATAGCTACCAATGGGGACAATTAGTGGCTAACAATGGGTAGTGTTAACTCTGATTTCTCTCTGCAGGTGCTGCCAGAACTGCTGAGCTTTTTCTGCAATTTCTGTTC